TGTTGAATTTTCGTAATCAACTAAAAATATTAAGAAACAGTAGGACTATAAAATAGATGTTATGTTGAATAATAGGCAAAGACAGTGCTAACTTATCTTCAACGAAAATGGCTTAGACCAGTTATTTATATTGGCGACTTATGCGCGCGCATGGTGATAATCAATAACGCAACAGCAAAGCACGTGATTGCAGCACGTTTCACGTTTTCTTGTCAATGGGGAAGAGTAAACAGTAAAACTATCTCATATACACTGCTCAACACGGGAAACTGTCCGTCTTGTATGAAATTTCATGTGGTATCAAGAAGGCCACGTTTTAAAGAATTCCAGATGCACGGAGTGTGATATTTTGCGTAATAGCAAAAAAAATTCGTACAACTGTCAAAAAAACTTGACATGGTAGCGAAAACAAATTTTTTTCGCTGCCAAAACAATTCACAAAATAAACAGAAATATTACTGTTTCCGCTGTATATGAAACTTGTAACGCCGCTTCTCGAACTTCCAATACTCGAAGTTTCCAGAAAATATCAGAAATACGAAACCGCTATAAAAGTAGCAGGTTGACAATCGGATCCAAATGGTGTGCTGGAAAAATTAGGATTTGCACATAACCCAGACGAATGGCGTTATTTTATAGATTCGTTTAAAACAATTTTAAAAGCCGTTCTGCTCCATAATGGTAACAAAAGACCCTCTATTCCTCTTGCACATGCAGTTGCCATGAAGGAAACACACGAAAGTATGTCACTTATTCTAAATGCAATAACTTATAATACGTATAAGTGGCAAATAATATGTGGTGACCTAAAAGTCTAAATGCAATGATTTATAATACGTATAAGTGGCAAACAATATGTGGTGACCTAAAAATCATAGGACTATTACTAGGTCTTCAGGGCGGATTTTCAAATTTTTGCTGTTTTCTTTGCTTTTCGAACAGTAGGGCAACACAAAGCCATTATCAAGTAAAAGAATAGCCTCCAAGAGATAAATATATTCCAGGTCAAGCTAACGTGAAGAATACACCTCTTGTTGATCCCAAAAAAGTTTTGTTACCTCCACTACACATTAAACTGGGGTTAATGAAAATTTTTGTAAGAGCATTAGACAAAGAAGGNAGTGTATCACAAATACCAATATGTTTGGCCACCTTATTCACTAGACTCAACCCCCTAAATTATTTTTGTCAATATGCATCTAGTTTCCATAAAAGATGGACTACAAGAAAAGATTTGACCAGCAAAGGTGTGGATGAATCAAGATCCATAGAATATCCTTGATGTGATCATTTGGATCCTTCCCCATGTAAAACTCTTGATGAAGAAATAATAAAGAGATCCTACAAATTTCAGCATCGTTGTGGAATTGGCCGCGGTGGTAGAACGCCCGACTCACGATCGGAAGATCGTGGGTTCGATTCCCGCCTCGGCCAGATATTTTTCTCGAAAGGATTTATCTGATTGAAGCGGGGATGATTCTGCAACCGTGTTAGGAATCACACGTTAAAAGGTAAGACCTCGTTAGTCCTTAGCTCGCACAAGTTTCTCAACTTCTGAGAGTTGTCGTTTGTATTGGGGGGACAGCTGATTAACGGAAAAACAGATTTTGAAACAGAAAACAGACAGGCAGATTTATAGAGGTGGTGAGTACAACTCAAGTGGCACAGCTTGACAATGTTAAGTTGGCATTGCAACGTTTAGGTAAAAACTGATATTGGCTGATAATTTTTTTAGTTATAGTCCATAAATTAAAAATCTGAACAAAATACTCGCGACCAGATTTCGATTTTTGCACCATCTATCAACACGTGTACGAAGTTTTTGACAAAACAAAAGCGAATTGGTGAAAACATCACGGTTTCCATGCATCTTGAGCTGAATAAACAAGGTATGGATTGAAGCAGGAGCTGAAAAAGACGACCAAGCCTCACTAGTCGAAAGAAATGTGGAAGTTGTCTCAAAAAGGACTGAAGGACTACTTTATCAAAATAAGGATCTACTCAGACGTATTGTAAGGACACTAGTATAAAAGAGGACAACTCGTCTTATCTCACCATGTGAAATATTCTATTAGAGGAGGCAAGTAATTTATGAATATCCAAATCTAAGTTCAGAAGAATATGATATACATCTAACAAAGGACATGCACAAACCGGCTTAGTTAACAAGATTGGAAATAGACGTCGCAAAAAGATAGGATATAAAATGCAATTAGCTCAAGATGCCACGGTCTTTTCCGCAGACTTGGAAATAAATCAGAAGGCCTCTGAACAGTAGTACCTAGATAAAAATATCCGCAAAAAGTAGAGAAAAGTAAGATATTTCAAAGTGAAGTAATCATTTGAAACAAAGTTCAAAATTTTGTTGTCCATATTCATCAAATACAGCGCCAATTTTTGATACAGTAATTCAAAAATGTGAGTTATAATATAATATGTCGGTCAATTAAAAAACAGCAATACACCTGATGAAGCTACAGTGTTATAGAAACGCATCTAGAATAAAAAAAAAGGAGAATTGTTCAATTATTGTCATGGAGAATCTTCAATTGATGTCGATGAGGTGACTGAAGTATAAAAGATTTACGAATTTTATTCATTTTTTTTCATACTTCCTATTTATTCACGAACGGAAATGATTGGAAATTATTCAACTTTGACAAATGAGCATCACATTTTGAATTTAAAGAGATATATTAAATAAGCATTGACTATTTTATTCATTATATTATTCCCAACGACCTATCTTGAGAAGAAAACTAAGGCCCTCATCAACAACTCCAATCTCCCTACCGAAACTAAGAAAGCTCTCATTCCCCGAGAAAAATCCTCCACTCCATTGTCAGTGCTTTCGGTTCTCCAACACAAAACCTTGCTAAACTCCTTGCAAACACTATCGCACCTCTTGTAGAACAGTCCTCGTCATACGTACGACATTCATTTCACTTCATCGAAATCCTCAAAAACCTCAATATCCAACAGACTGACATCCTTTTGAGTTTCGACATAGTGTATTCATTCACAAATATCCCCTTATCAGACACATGGAATATTCTCGAAAGGAAACACCAAATTTCCAAAGGCACCCTCAACCTCATCAGTCACTGTATGTCCAACACATACTTCTTCTTCCAAGGTAACTTTTACACACAAGTAAGGGGCGCCCCCATGGGTTCTCCTCTTTCACCAGTCCTTTCAAATATCTTCATGGAAGACTTCGAAACTATGGCCATTGACACGTTCGACCACAAACCCTCTTGCTGGTTCAGATAGGTAGATGACGTTTTCGTCATATGGCCTCACGACTCAACGACCTCCACCCAAACATAAAATACACAATGGAAATTGAAACCAATAACTCCCTTCCACTCCTAGATGTCCTCATCACAAAATCCAATAACTTCTTCACCCACACGGTCTACAGGAAACCAACACACACATAATCAGATACCTTAACGCAAACTCCCATCATCATCCAGCACAAACCATTTCTGTTTTAAATTTTCTTATCCACAGATCTACCACAGACTGTCACAACAAACTACAAGAGCTGGCTCAACTCAAATCAGCTCTTTTTCAAATGGATTCATAAACCATCAAATTGACGAACCTATCCGTTGTCAACAAGCTTCTCCATCCAGTAAAGGTGTTACTGACAAAATTGTCTGAATTCTCAAAAAACAGAACATAAAAACGATATTCACTATTCACCGCCAACAATCAAATTTCCACATTCCTCTGTTCCCCCAAGGACAAAATTGTCAATGAATCCCAGGATATATATGAAATTTCATGCACCGATTGCCATAGAACATATGCTGTCCGAAAGTCATACCCATCCTTAGCCACTGTCCAAACATAATCAAGATAATTGCCACAATGAAAACATTACAAGCTCGGATAATTCGCGAAGCCACCCAAATTGAAATGCGACCTTCCTGCAACAAACGTGATTACGATCAGAGACTTCCAACTACATGGAAACCTCTAATTTACCGATGTCCACCCCCACCAAGACGTCCGGTGAAGGTAACCACCCGAAGCTCGCCCCAAAATTTCCACTTCAGTAGTTCCTGTCGATATAAATACCACCGAGCACCCATCGATACTTCAGTTTAATCTAAGGAGTAGGCAGACTGACACCTTAGAGAGAACTCACGACGAGACCTGGAGAGTAGGCAGATTGAGACCCCAGCGTCAAGTCGCATCAATTTCTTCAAACGCAAAACTCCAGACACGGTTCGAAGGAAATGTTCGTTTCATGACTGACACCGTCTACTATTTAGAAAATTTTTCAATATCACCCATTTAAAATTCAGTTAGTGACAGGATCAGGAGCTAACTTTCAGAAACAACTGGAGTGTATTACTCGTATTGTGATATAAAAGCCGTAACTGGTCTGAACCAGGCCTGATTGTATGCTGTCAAGTCAGTTGGGTGTTATTTCATACATTGTGGTGGCAATGTGGTGGATAAATTTGAGTTAACTGGTTCAGTTAACGATCGACCAACACCCGTACGTCGACAAAACGCAATATCTGCCGGAAACATCGCCGCTGCCTGTGAGAGTGTGCAAGAGAATCTGAGGCAGTCAATTCAGCGTCGCTCATAGGAACTCTACCATTCGCAGATCACAAATGGGCGAATTTTGCATCGTGACTTGGGCCTGCACCCGTACAAAATTCACCAGGCCATCATTGTCAACGGCTGGCACCCATAGGTAATGATTATCAACTTATTTTAGCCTGAATTGGATGATCTGAGCACCAACGACATGTGGTTTCAACAGTACGGCGCTTAATGAAAGACCTGTTATTACGAAATAGGAGTTGGTTTTTCTTCTTTGATTCATGATTTCAAAAGACTGTATTTCAGAAATATAGTTGACCTTTTTCAATAACAAATAAAAAAAATTCAAGCATCATAGAATGTCTCCCCTCTTTCTAGTGAAATGTGGTCTATTGGATATCATGATTGAGGACACACGATTGTCAACTCACCTTTGAAGAATGAACTTGGCACACTCCGTATCAGGTATTCTCGTTTCTCTATCCTGAACGACATCAATTCCAACGAACAGACCGACTCCTCTAACATCCCCGATGCATTTGTGCTTTTTCGCCAACATTTGACAGTTATCTTGCAGGTATTCACCTACCACTACCGCATTTTCTCTCAAATTTTCTTTTTCTATGGTATCGAAGACGGCGTTGGCTATGGCACATGATACAGGATTTCCACCGTACTAAAATACAGAGAATAAATAATGGTTTGGTTTTGTTTGAGAAAATTCGTAAATGAGTCATTACCAGAAAAAATTAGAGAAAAAAATCATCGACAAAAGACAATTTCTTTTAAAGACAATATAAAACTTTCTTTCAGTCCGAAATGAAGCTATTAAAATTATCGATTTGGATTACAGCCTGATTAGCCATCGACCAACAAGCTGTTTATACTCTTGGGGGGGGCAAGCGGCCAAGTACAGACCTGTTCACTCACGGAAGGATGATTGTTCACATATCATTACTTGAGATGTTACTAGAAGAAATGGTAGATGCGAATAGAAGGAATTTCCAAGTATGGAAAATGTTCTAGTGCCTTCGATCAAAGTTCTGTTGGATGTGCAGCAATCTCTTCGCTGTCAGACACCAGTGATAAGAGATTAGAGAAGGTTTAGTGAACTAGTTAAGTAAGAGAAGGAAATAGTTCATTAATTTTTCTGGTATTTATTGAGGTAATTCAACAATAAATGTGTTACCTATTCAAGATACCCATTACTCAAATGAGCGTTTGGGAAGTACTTCAATCGACAAAAAGTTGCATCAAACATTCAAACCGGATGCCTAATTTACAAATAAAATTGGCCTCTCCCATAAACCTTTGAAAATTCAAAAAGTGGCTGGTTTCGTTTTCCACCTAGTATTAGTGGCAAGCAGTTGCGCTAAAAATATTCCACCAAATTGAAACTATAACAATACTGTTTACCAAAGATAATTGAAATTTTTATCACTTAAGTACTCAGTTTATTGAGTAAACAGACGTAAACTGGATCTTTTAGCACTTAAAATTCAATAGAAATTGAGTGATTTCAAATTGTTACAATTGAAAAAGTCAACTGATCAAAGTAATGGAATAATTCTTTTCATATGATGTGAACTTCACCAGTCACACTGTACAACGTTCTTTTTGTTGAGACACTCAACAAATATATTGAGATTCTCTTCGCTTTGCGACTTACCGTATTGAAGTATTCCACGCCTGTTTTCATAAAACTGTCGGCAATTTCCTGAGTCGTGACGACGCACGCCACTGGATGACCGTTCCCCATGGGTTTGCCCATGGTCACAATGTCAGGCAGGACATCGAATTGCTGAAATGCCCACCAGTGCTTTCCGATTCTTCCAAATCCCACCTGGACTTCGTCCGCGATGCAAACGCCCCCTGCTGATCTCACGTGATTGTATACTTCACCGAAGTAGTTCTTCGGGGGAATCACCTGACCTCCACAGCTCACCATGCTCTCCGCGATGAAGGCGCAGACACCATTTCCGTCCTCTTGGATTTTTGTACATATATCACGGACCTCGTCTGCGTAAAGCTGACCGATTTCTTCCTTCTGGTATTCGGAATCGCGGTACTTTCCTCTGTAGGAGTCCGGAAGGGATGCCTGGAAAATATAGATGAATATTATTTCTTCAACAATGAAGAAACCACTTTCAAAATTATATTTTGCAAATATGCTGCGTCGAAAGATTTCAACCGACATATTTGCGAAAATCCATTCAGAGTGATTTCTTCAAGATTCAATAGTTTGAATGTGAACAAAGTTGAATAGACATGCCTGTGTAAAATGTAATAATCGTTACAGTTTATCAAGTCTAGGAAGCAACTTGTAATATTTTACCACCTGCGTATACTAGTGACAGAGACATTAGGATAGACATATACCGTGCGACTTGGTGCGCCTCAAGGCCGTAGCCAGAAAACAATTTCGGGGGGGAGGAGTTTGATTTGGTGGCACAGTAGAAAAACATGAAATATAGAACAACGAAAGAAACGGAAAAAAAAAGAAAAATTGTGTTACATGATCACATATATTCATTAGAAAACCATTACAGAAATATTAACATCTTTTTACAAAATCAAATTTAGTTTTCTAGCTTTCTTTGCAGCAAACAAATCAATTACCTCCTCGGTGTCGATGTCAATTCTACGGTGGATTGACATTAGCGCCAAACCGGTTAGTCGTTCCTGGATTTTTGAGGCGTTTCATAGAAGGGAAAGTCCTTTCAGGAATACATGTGGAAACAGGTAGTGTCGCCAAGATCTTTGAAAGTTTGTACGCACATTGCCGTAAGGTTTTTCCATTGTGTTTCGGGAAAGTTTTTTTTCAATATTCTCTTTTACTTGGTTCGTTTTGCCAAGGAATTGATAAAATTTCTAACAGATTTTATAATTCCAATGGTATCTGTATCTGTAGAGTAGGGAGGGTAAGTGTAGGCCCACAGTACTTAGACCACATGTGACCCATTGTATATCCTCCCAAGAAGTTGTCCTCCTAGGTCATCGTCGATCCTGTCCTTTCCAGGAAGGCAGGTGTAGGCCAAGACTCGCCAAACACACACTCTCTTATTGACGATAACTCCAGACACTCGCATAGGACATACCTGACAGTTTCATCTTCTTGTTCACACATCCTGCATAGAGGTGTGTCTACTAGCCCCATATTATGGATGTGGTTTCTTAGTTGACAGTGGCCAGTCAGAAATCCTACTGTTAAGCGTAGATTTTTCCTGGTCATCGCTAGATATTTCTTCTTCTATCTCTTTATATCTCTTTAGGGATTGAGCATGGGCGTAACGTTTGGCTAGTTCCGCAATTGTCGAAGTCATCAGTCCGTAGGTGCCACTGGGTCCTAAAATTCTTAGTCAAGCCGCTTCCTTGGCTAAAGAGTCGCCAGTGCGATTACCTTTACTCCTGTCGTCTACCTCAGGATAATATTATTATCTACCGAGGCTTTGGCTAAATCTTGGTGGTACTCTAGTATTAGGCCTGAGGTAACACGTTGTCTGTTCTAGGCTAATAGAGCTTGTCTGCTATCAGTGCAGATTGTTATTTTTTTGTCAGAAATTCCTTTCCTGGTTATTTCTTTTGTAGCAATTGAGGTACCAGTCAATTCTGTTTGAACCACGCTGGTATTTTTTCCCATTCCCCACTGAATTCTTAAGCTTAGTGATCTGTAGTACACTCTGAGCCTTCTTTGATTTTTGAGCCGTCTGAATATATGCGTATTGCATTTGTAGCATCTGACTCTGTGTTCTGTTTTATTTGTATTTTGTAGGGTTTATTAAACACAAACCTGGGTACAATTGCATCACTATTTGCCTGCAGCAGAGGTTGCGCAGTGAGCGCTTCTCGCCATAGGCTCAGCTTTAATTGACCCATTCATACTTCGAGGTTTATACCACCCGTGTGCAATCGTAACATGGTCATTAACGCAACTTCCTCAACGCACAGGTCCAGAGGGGACAGACCAGTAATTAATTCCCTTGCCGCGGTTAGCGTTATTCTCATGGCTCCTGTGATGTTCAAACGAGCCAATCGTTGTATTTGATATAATTTTTGGATGGTCGTTGCTTGTAGAACTTTCGGAGGAGGATCAATCCCCGTTGATCTCCTCCTGGCTACAGTCTTGGTGCGCCTATTTGGGTTTTAGAGTGGCCTGAGAGTACAGTCCTCGCCGCAAGTAGCAGTAAAGAATTTGGGAAAATACCATTCTACATGAAAGCGTCCAATGCATCCCGAAAATGTCACTATCTAGTGTCTATGTTGGGCTGGCGGCGTCATAATTGTCAACTCATTTTAGGTTGAACTGGATGAACCGGACACCAACGACATGTGGTTTCAACAAAATGGCGCTACGTGCCACACAACTCATGCCACATTGGCTATTCTGCACAAATGATTTTGAGGGCATGGTCATCTAATGTAGAGGTGATGTAAACTGTCCACCGAGATCGTGCGATTTGACCCCATTAGACTTTTTTGTGGTGTTTTCTTAAGAAGTAAGTGTATGTGAATAAGCCACAAACCACAGCGGTCCTCAAAGCCAATTTTCACATAAAAACCTACATCTGCTCCTTCCTCCTTCTTTTCCTTTCACATATCTGGGATGGTTTCGTATGGGTATTTATTTATGTTGATGAAGATGTTGACATTTGAAGGCAATAATTCGTAAAGTTGAGAGACTGGCCTGAAATTTCATAAGTCGTCCGAAATAATCGTTTTTTGTTCAATATGACTATGAAAATCTATTTTTTGATCAAATCCGATATTGCTTGTAATAGTTTGTTTCCCTCGAAACCAAACTTGAGATGTAGATTCTTATATACATTGAAACATACTCTCTGTGGTTCAATGTTCAAATGCATCCGAATCTTATTCACTGGTATCTCTTTTTCGCATTCGCTATTGGAGTCACTACACTGGAAAAAGTCTGCGTTATGACACTCGTTATTACTATTAGTACTTGTCCAAGAATGTCACATTTTAAACAGATAACAATAATTTTAGGTAATTATACCTACACCAATATCGAATTCCAACACTCAAATCGCGATCAGTTCCTGAACTGAACACGACGACGATAACATTCCCCGATTCCCCCTACTTCTATTCGTCACCGTAACATGACTTCAAATTCAATTTTATGACTCTTCAGCCAATCATATAACTCGGTTAGTAAAAATTATCCAATACGAACCGTCAAGTTTACAGTCCACGTGGACTAGTTCGGCTTTCTATGTATTTGTTTTTTGGCCTTTGAGAGTGCCGTCAACTTTAAATATGCACAATATCGTTTACGTCGACTATACAAGCAACTGCTTATAATGAAATCTTTCTCTTGAAGAATCTTTGAAAATAATCAGTCAGGAAAATATAATTGCTGTGTATGCTTGGGGAATCCTACATACATTATTGTTTGCGAAATAAAAAAGAGGTGTTATTTAAAAGTTAATCAGTCTGAGGGGCATGCCTTTCATTGAACGAGTTATGCAGAAACATATTTCAGTTTTTTATACTCACCACATGAACATGTTCCTTTTGTCCAACCCCGCCAGGAAGGTTAAATTTGTAGTGAGAAATATCAATCAAAGATGTCAAATGGCCATGGTAAGCACTAAAAAATAACTATATTCGTATCTGGCGTTTCACCCTAGCCTAATCGCCCCAATAAAATATAAAAACAACATATAAACCCTTTTCCAAGCTTGAGTGTTAATTTGTTCAAAACCACTCCAAATATCAAATAATTATTTTCGGTACTCTTATATTTGGTAACACCAAGCTTGGAAATCACATAAGATTGCTTCAAAGAAGCTTAAGCTAATGATGTAACTGAGAGGCTGGTCCAAAAGATTTATTAGCCTCTGGCTCATTTTTCACAACACAAAGTCGTTGATATTCTTGTCCATTTGTTATTTGATATGTACGAGCAGCTGTAAGAGAAAAATAAAAACAAAGAAATTAGATTTGTTCGACTCCATTCACATTTATAATGTACATGATGGTATATGGTAACATACAAAAAATAATAATTCCTTTATATTCTATAAGAGGGCAATGCGTTATTTATTTCACTAAATAAATATTTGAGCAAAGTACAAGAACAGATAAACTTCTTTACTTGTTAACTCAGTTTGTTTACATCATATAGTGCACAATCAGTTTATTGCACTCGTTTGGAAAATTTTTAGGAAGAAAACATCTTTATCAGTATTATATTTTCTCTTAAAAATAACTGTATAAGCTATTAAATGATGATGACACACTACTTTATCTATTATGTAATTATAACAATCATATCAGTATAGAATAAAAAATGTATGTTTTGTGTGACGGCAAGAAAATTATTCAATTTAATGTTCATAATCCAGACCAAGATGCGCTTTTGTTTTGTCAGGTCTCGACGTGATTAAATCGTAATTAAATAGATCAACCCAACTTTGTATAGAAGTTGAAAGATGGTGCATGAATTGAATTCCGTAACATTGGTTGCGTCTTTTATGTATCCAGGAAATGGATTCAGCAATTATTGTTTAACACATTCAGCGGAAAAGCGTCTTCAGCCTTTCTAAGATGGTTACGTGTTTATTTGTTTTGGTATTTTCAACACATCACATGTGCAACGACAAATTGTCCTATAGAATATAGTAGTATTTTAAACAATTTTTAATTTTATTTCATGGTTTTCATAACTTTGGTATTTTTTATAGTAGTACCTACTGTTCGATAGGAAGACTTAACAGATTGTCTCTGGTCTGGATTCCTGCCCATACTGACTGCTGACTCCCTTGCAAAGGAGAGTGCTGCAAGCAGCTTCATCGAACCAGAACCTGTCATTGGCAACGGTTTAGACTTTGTCAAACAAAGATTGCAAGATGGCAAGAAGATGTATTGACTTCTGTCAGAATCTTCCAGGATTGGCTCACTGCAAGGCGTTTATTCACCCTTCGAAGCTTGATACCAAACAGTTGTTCAGTAGGGATGAACTACGATGTCTAACAGGCCTTCTTACAGGTCACTGTCATTTGAATCATCATATGAAGAGATTCGGACTGTCGGAAGATTGTGTGTGTCGCCTCTGTTTGGAAAATGATGAAACAGCAGAGCAAATACTTTGTGCCTGCCCCGTTGGGGACCGAATCAAGTTTTTACAGTTTGGCAGAGCCGTACTCTTACCATCTGACCTAAAAGACAACTCACCATAGAATCTAATCAACTTCTTTAAAAAGCTGTGTTTATTTGGTCGAGTGTGAATAGCTGTGAGCCTCAATAAACTCTTGCGGGTTGCGGTGGAGGGTCACTTTGAACCTAACCTAACGTAACCTAACTGCTGATACTCGTAATTTTCGCAGTGATATAGGGTTGCAAGATATAAAACAATTTTTCGAAGAAATATTTTACGAAATCACTTTATTTCTGAATATAAATGTTAAAGTGTCAGCTTGGTTTTGTCCCGCAGTGCCACTTGATGTAATCCCAGCATTCACTGAATGGAATACCTGAATTTACTGGACTTTTTTTACAAAATATATTACACAGGTAAGAATTCACACCAGGGATTGTATGTATCTTGATCCAGCCTGAAGCCTTTTACTCTGTTATTGATCAGTTTATAGGTTCCAACCCCACCGACGTCAGTAAATTATTTGCCTTAGAGAAATGCCCGTTTCCCTCCCAATTTCTCGACTTGTTGGTAGGAGAAGGATGCCCTGCAGTCAACACTTTATTTCCTTTTGTTTTATCGATATATGTCGACATTCCTCCAGCATCCATACCCCATAACATAAAAATTAGAAATCTCTCGTTATTGTTAGCAACTTCTTGTAACTTTCTGATGACTGCAACAACAATTTGTTCCCAGCCTTTTTCGCTGTGGGATCTCCGTTTATTCGCCGTAACAGTGAGGACACTATTCAACAAAAGGACCCCCTGTGTAGCCCAAGACTCAAGGCAACCGTAATTGGCAGGAAAGTTCTTCAAAGTGTTAGGGTATTTTGAGTCGATGTCTCTCTTCACCTCGTCTAGGATATTAGCCAGGGAGGGAGGTACTACTCTGGTATTCCTGTCGACACTAAAAGCGAGTCCGTGTGCCCAGCCAGGAGTCGGGTAAGGATCCTGTCCAATGATCACCACTTTAATTTTTTCTGGCGCGCAATACTTCGTGAAAGACCAGACTTTGCTTTTATTCGGAAGGATGTCGTCTTTCGGGATACCGCCCAGGAAGTCGTTAAGTTTTAACAGGTGTTCTTCGTTCTCGCTGAAAACTTCCATGAGGAGGTTACGCCATGATTCATCGATAGCGCTGCCATCGATTACGTGTGGAAATTTTTCCGCGTAAAATTGTACCGACCGGTTATCGTCCGACATAACTCGCTATTTATCGACTACTGTTCTCTATTTTGTTTTCCGCGACCTTTGATGGTGCACCGTTATTATAAAATGTGAAAGCGATATGCAGTTGCTTCAGCGATCTGCTTCTGACCAGCCTGCATAACTATGAATATAAACCAAACATATAGTACAGGATTATTGGACGCTACAGAGGCCAATCTACTGATAACACTGCAGCCAGCTCAATTTTTTCAAGTATCTTTATTTTTATCATGAGAACCAATTCCTGGAGAGTCCAAGTAAGTCAACGCGGTGCGTTTTTTAATTCGAAATCAAATGTACAAAAAACGATTTTTATATCTCTGGATCTATCAATTCTGCGAAATGATGGTTAGAAATCGAAAACGAATAATCATTCCATTAATAATGAGGATGCTACTGTAACTGATACTCATGAAATCCTGGATATTATAAACTTTATAAGTTCACTCTTCAACTATAGAAGAGGGCAATGACAATAATTCATCTGTGATATGAATGAAATTAAAGTCTACAACAATTTTTTCACAACGCAATGTGGAGGAACTTATAAAGCCTCTAGTGCACAGTGTTTTCAAAGATATAATGAACTAACATTTAGCACCTCATATACGAGTACCAGGTGCTTTAATCTGAATAAAAAGCTATTTATAATTAGAAAGACATTGAAGAGGTTTTTTAACTGATGTAATGCACATTTACGGCTTGACCCACACTTGTAGTACTCGTATTTCGTCTGTTGTAAGCTTAGTTTGAATTATTTTAACACAGAACAAAACATCAATTACTTTAATCGTTACATTTTTGTTAGTTGTGCAATTTTTACCTGACAGAACAAAGAAAGGTAAAAGAGAAATTATTTTTCGACTAACCTCGTATGAATCAATGAATATGATATATTTCCTATATGTTTAAATATATGGGATGAAACACCGACGGATCGAAGGGGGGGCAAAGGGGGCAAGTGCTCCCCCCGAGAAAAAAAATCCCTCAGGGGTGTGTGCTTAAGAATTGCAAACTTTTTATTGAGGCGTCAACCTTTCAAAAAAAAAATAACTAATTTGATGTACGTTCTAATTTTATTTTGATTTTGGCGGTGGTAGTGGCAGCAGAAATTTGCAACCTTGTGACAAAACCATTTCGATAATCGCCATTGCAATTTGTTATTGTTGCTTTGATAAGTAAATAAATAAACTTTCCACACTACATGGTAGAATATAATAAAACATATTTTCCTATATGAATCAAAACGTAGGGTAGACCTACAGGTAAGGTATTTATCTATAACTTGGTGATTTTAGGAAGTTAGGGGTGAACTAAGAAATCTCGATTGCCCCCCCCCCTCCCCCCGAAATCATGGTCTGGATCCGTCACTGGGATGAAACATACAACTCCAAATTTTACTGTGAAAATAAGCATTGACTATTTTATTCATTATATTATTTATTTGTTTTTACCGTCGTTATTTAAATTTCAGTTTCATTGAAAACGAATTTTCGCTTTTCAACTAATTTGTTCCAGTAATGAAAATATGTTGTTAACTTCATTGATTGTAAGAAATTCTGAAAAACAGTCTGAACTAGAATATTTTTCAGGAGTTTTTCAGGTCTTCATAACAAATATATCCAAAAGTATGTCACTTTAAAATACTAATTAGACTTTGAATGAGTCAGAGCTTGTTTGCAGAAATCTTCTGTCATCAGTTTTAACTGGGAAATAATTCCAAGAAGATAATTAGGAAACATGATCTTATTATACATAAATAAGTAATAAAAATGCTCTCTTATAAAATAAAAACGACTTATTTGCCTTCCAACAAAACATGACTACATTAGAGACACTCCAGAGAAATCACTATAAATAGGTGGACATTACCGTATAGTCATATTTGGCCAACAAAGCATTGTAAGAAAGAAATGTTACCAAACTACACAAATGCGAAAAACATGTTGGTTCCAGGTCAGGCTCGTCTGGGGGCCTGAAAACGCGCTTGGTTAAAGAAAACAAATTGAAAAAAACTTACTGTTCGAGTGCGATGACGTCCTTATTCCCGGTGTGTATTTGTGCTAGACGTAGAGCAAGATCATTAGCTTCCGATCCAGAATTGACGAAGAAACAAACAGACAATTCGTCAGGCATCGTGCTTATTATTCTCTTCGCACATAGAACGATGTTGTCGTGAAGGAAGCGATTGTTAGTATTCAAAATTGACATTTGTTCGCAGCCTGCTCTGACTACTTCTGGGTGACAATGACCAACTGCAAAGGATTACAGTTTGAAATCACTTTCAGTCATTTTTTTACGAATGTTGGTAGATGTTCATTTCTTTTCTATCACTTCAAATATTTTTAAAATCATTATAATAAGATGTTGAATAACTTCCATAAATTACTCTATACAGATTGACGCTTTGAAAACTAGTCATAATCAATAACTTCTACATGACAAGAAATAAAAAAAGCCGTAACTTCAAATATTTTTAAAATCATTATAATAAGATGTTGAATAACTTCCATAAATCACTCTATACTGATTGACGCTTTGAAAACTAGTCATAATCAATAACTTCTACATGACAAGAAATAAAAAAAGCCGTAACTTCTACAGGGTAATTCTTGACAAAAGCTAGAACAAGGATTTGAAAAGTTAAAATTTCGGATATAAAGTAATGATGTATTCATCTGAGAAATTATCAATTACCCTCGCCTCTGGGTATATCGGAAATTGTTGAAACCAGATCTCAAAAACAAAGCATTCATGATCAAAATCCAGACAACGCTGTTTCCACCTGTCATAGGTTTCATCAGTGGTGCTAGGTTTAAAAACAAAAGCATCGTTGGACTTGACTGCCCTTGAGAGACAAGCTTGAAGATAATTAGGAATTGGCATCTTTTCTTACGAAGACACACTCTAAGAGATACACAGAAGGCTCAAACCACGAATATTAATGATAAACGAGAGTTCCAAAGGCGAAACCAAGCTTATATCTTCATAGAATGATTAAAATAATAGCATTACATTTTTTTTCTACATTTTTTTAAGTGTTATGAAGATAATTTATATTCAGGACATGAAATAGTCTGCCAAAATTCGAGACAAAAAAACATTGGTATCACCAGGATGGTACTTCACTTAATAATGAGAGAGTATTAATATACTTGTTTCGATTACCAAGTGATCATCTTCATGAGGAAGATCAAACTGATATTCCTCTCACACGTGTTTCGATCACCAAGTGATCATTTTCAAGAGGAAGATCAGTTCCAAACAGTGTATCACAAGTACCAATATGTTTGGCCACCTTATTCACTAGACTTAACCCCTAAATTATTTTTGTCAATATGCATCTAGTTTCCATAAAAGATGGACTACAAGAAAAAGTTTGACCAGCAAAGATGTGGATGAATCAAGATGCATAGAATATCCTTGATGTGATCATTTGGATCCTTCCCCATGTAAAACTCGATGAAGAAATAATAAACAGATTCTACAAATTTCAGCATCGTTGTGGAATTGGCCGCGGTGGTAGAACGCCCGACTCACGATCGGAAGATCGTGGGTTCGATTCCCGCCTCGGCCAGATATTTTTCTCGAAAGGATTTATCTGATTGAAGCGGGGATGATTCTGCAACCGTGTTAGGAATCACACGTTAAAAGGTAAGACCTCGTTAGTCCTTAGCTCGCACAAGTTTCTCAACTTCTGAGAGTTGTCGTTTGTATTGGGGGGACAGCTGATTAACGGAAAAACAGATTTTGAAACAGAAAACAGACAGGCAGATTTATAGAGGTGGTGAGTACAACTCAAGTGGCACAGCTTGACAATGTTAAGTTGGCATTGCAACGTTTAGGTAAAAACTGATATTGGCTGATAATTTTTTTAGTTATAGTCCATAAATTAAAAATCTGAACAAAATACTCGCGACCAGATTTCGATTTTTGCACCATCTATCAACACGTGTACGAAGTTTTTGACAAAACAAAAGCGAATTGGTGAAAACATCACGGTTTCCATGCATCTTGAGCTGAATAAACAAGATATGGATTGAAGCAGGAGCTGAAAAAGACGACCAAGCCTCACTAGTCGAAAGAAATGTGGAAGTCGTCTCAAAAAGGACTGAAGGACTACTTTATCAAAACAAGGATCTACTCAGACTTATTGTAAGGACACTAGTATAAAAGAGGACAACTCGTCTTATCTCAACATGTGAAATATTCTATTAGAGGAGGCAAGTAATTTATGAATATCCAAATCTAAGTTCAGAAGAATATGATATACATCTAACAAAGGACATGTACAAACCAGCATAATTAACAAGATTGGAAATAGATGTCGCAAAAAGATGGGATATAAAATGCAATTAGCTCAAGAGGCCACAGTCTTTTCCGCAGACTTGAAAATAAGTCAGAAGGCCTCTGAACAGTAGTACCTAGATAAAAACATACTCAAAAAGTAGAGAAAGTAAGATAAATGAGATGAATTTTACATTATTTCAAAGTGAAGTAATCATTTGAAACAAAGTTCAAAACTTTGTTGTCCATATTCATCAAATACAGCGCCAATTTTTGTAATTGTTCAATTATTGTCATGGAGAATCTTCAATTGATGTCGATGAGGTGACTGAAGAATAAAAGATTTACGAATTTTATTCATTTTTTTTTCATACTTCCTATTTATTCACGAACGGAAATGATTGGAAATTATTCAACTTTGACAAATGAGCATCACATTTTGAATTTAAAGGGATATATTTTCAGGAGAAATTATTGTTTAGTAAAAAAGGTTTTGGCTTTTAACTCCTCCATCGTGATACAAAAAAATGTGGGGATCTTCCAAAGAAAGAAAGGAAGCATCAATTTCGAAAATTAACTCTATATAGAGATGTAGAGTATCAAGATGGAGTAACGGAAAGCCAAAAACTTTCTTTCCCAAAAATCTTACCATGGGCAACGTTGTTGATACAGTCTAGGAAAGCATCGCCCCTTTCATCGTACATGTATTGTCCTTTGGCTCTAACAATTTTCAAAGGATCTTGGCGGAAGAAAAGTTGGCACGATTTACTGAAAAAAAATACACACTTTCAGTTTTACACTTCATATAATTCGTTTCACCTAATAAAATATTATCTTTATCGTTTCGTACATTTTTATGCGTTTTCCATACTTTGACCAAAATGTTCAATCAAATATTAGCAAACAGGTCAAATGGGTTGAATGTGTTTCTTAACGTAAGTTTTTTATATATGTTTAAAGTTTAAATCAACATTTCATACTGGAGATACTGCTGAATGTTTGTTACGTCACATGCATTTAGATACGGAGGTATCTAACCTTGCCGAAACAGGCAATCTGGTTGTTGCTAGGTGCTGTTTGAGATATCGTTGCTGAAATTTATCATTTTTGGATAAAGTACGTATATGTAGTCAAGGATTTTTTTCCATGCGGATCAAATTGGTTGTTTACAAGAACTTGATTGAGATGAAATTATTTAAAATTTAATCAACAAGTTGAAATTCATATGTAATGCAACACCAATACACAATGTGACACACTATATATTCAATAAATTAGATTTTCATTCCTAGCATATTATATGCACTAAGAATGGCTTTTGTCAAAAGCAAACAGAAAAGCTGAAGAATATAAAAGCGCCTCTAATTCGAAAATTACAGAATATTATTTATAAACAGTTAATGAATGGCTTTTTTTATTCTTTCATTAGTGATAGGTATTGTTCAACTTTTAATGATATATGTATTTCACTTATTTAAATAAAGCATTAATTGATTAAAAAAAAACATTTAACTAGTTTAGTGATCCTTTAATTTTTTGAAGAAAGGTTGCTTTGTTGTTGTTTTTGCCAACATTTCGAATTTAAATAAATTCTTCTTTAGGGCTCGAAAAGTAGTTTCTTCGTGTTGATATTACTATTTTAAAAAGCATTAGACATAATAGAAAAAAAATAAAAAACATTGCATCAACAAAATTCTCGAGACAACACCAACACAAAACGACATGAAACAAACGAATATTCATAAAATTTGTTATGAGTTCAAAGTTTTGTTTGTTTTTTTTATTATTGTGATTTATTCATATTACAGTATCCATGATTCATTAAATTTAGGATAACTAAGCTCAAATTGAAGGATACGTGTTAAACTCATTCAATATGAAGAAAAAAGAGATATGATACAAATTTATTACAAATACGATAGAAACAGTGTTAGGATTTGTATTTAAACTTGTATCCCGAAAGACGACAACTACATCGAACTATGTTCAAGTTATTGAATCAAAATCTCACCAAGTTGGTTCGTTTGAAAAGCCAATGAAAAAATACGGAGACAGAATCAACAATCAAAATTTGATAAATGAGGTGTGTATGAGGTGAATTATATATTGTGTCCTTTTCAATGAAAATAGCAATGAACTTTGAGCAAATAACAATAACTAACTAAAATGTAAAGACAAAAGTAAATCACAGCAAATGCTCAAAATGCTGGCCTTGTTCATGATAACACAACTGTGCCCTTCTTCGAATATTATTCACTGCACGATTAATTTCCCTCCTCTTCAATCTTCCGAACTCTCTAACAATGCTGTGTTACAGGTGATCAATATTTTGATATTACTTCTGACCATTAACTCTATTTTTCAGTGTACCCCATAAGAATGTATCCATGACACTTAAATCTGGAGTTCTTGCTGGCCACCTCATCGGCCTATACATTTATCACCAAACCTTTCAGTCAGGTAATTAGATACTCGTCTGGTAGTAAGGAAATCAGGTTGCTTTTTTTTCAATTCACTATTTCTATCATTTGTCTACATTTGGCAAATCTTATCTTTCGTATTTATATTATTTCGAGTCATTATGCTCCTATGTGTGAGAGACTCTAGAATAAAATCAAACCTTAAATCGCAATTTTTTTTTCATAAATGTACAAATGAATTATAGTTTGTTGATGTATTGACTGTGCTTAAGAATACGTTTCACAGGGTTTTTTTTATGCCAGTTTATTCATGAACTCGTGTGGGCCTTCTCGAGTTTTCAATAACAAAACTACCTAAAGTACCTATATATCTCTAATTAGTTTTCTATTGTGTAAATAGTTTTGTAAGCTCCTTATCGTTAATGGTATACTAATGATATGATCCTATCTACTCAAAATATTTCGAAATTCTCCTAAGCGATGGTTAATTGTTTTCCTGATATCGTTCGTTAAAAATATCAGTTACGGTTTAAAATTTCATCGTACCAATTATATTATATCAACACTGCTGCTTATTTTCAATGAGTGAATATATAGTTATTGTCCTAAATTTTATAAACAGACCTACGAACATGTATTCATCCCGTTGTGGGTCGCCTTTATATTTACCCATAGCAATAATTCTTATATTGTATCCAAATAGTTCTCATGGAAGTAATTCAAAATTTTCAAAAATAACAAAAAATCAATAGAAGTTCATGCCACGACTTTGTTTTTGAGCTAACTTTCATTTCTAATCATAATGAATATAAGGTTTTTCATTCTAATTCCTACGAATAACGAATTTACCGTAGCTTCTTATTTAGAAGCTTTCATTTCTAAACAACTTTTTCAAATAACATTTTCATTATGGTATATTTTTCTTGAACAAATTTAAAGGTTTTTAAGTTGTCCATTCTACTATTTGACTTGAAGCCATTTTAAGTACATCTAATATAATTATTGAGTAGTTAGTCTAGTTCACATGTACTTTTTTTTTTGTATATATGCGTATTGCATTTGTAGCATCTGACTCTGTGTTCTGTTTTATTTGTATTTTGTAGGGTTTATTAAACACAAACCTGGGTACAATTGTATCACTATTTGCCTGCAGCAGAGGTTGCGCAGTGAGTGCTTCTCGCCATAGGCTCAGCCTTAATTGACCCATTCATACTTCGAGGTTTATACCAGCCGTTTGCAATCGTAACATGGCCATTAACGCAACTTCCTCAACGTACAGGTCCAGAGGGGACAGACCAGTAATTAATTCCCTTGCCGCGCTTGGCGTTATTCTCATGGCTCCTGTGATGTTCAAACGAGCCAATCGTTGTATTTGATATAATTTTTGGATGGTCGTTGCTTGTAGAACTTTCGGGGGAGGATCAATCCCCGTTGATCTCCTCCTGGCTACAGCCTTGGTGCGCTTATTTGGGTTTTAGAGTGGCCTGAGAGTACAGTCCTCGCCGCAAGTAGCAGTAAAGAATTTGGGAAAATACCATTCTACATGAGAGCGTCCAATGCATCCCGAAAATGTCACTATCTAGTGTGTATGTTAGGCTGGCGGCGTCATGATTGTCAACTCATTTTAGGTTGAACTGGATGAACCGGACACCAACGACATGTGGTTTCAACAAAATGGCGCTACGTGCCACACAACACATGCCACATTGGCTATTCTGCACAAACGATTTTGAGGGCATGGTCATCTCATGTAGAGGTGGTGTAAACTGTCCACCAACATCGTGCAATTTGACCCCATTAGACTTTTTTTTGTAGTGTTTTCTTAAGAAGTAGGTGTATGTGAATAAGCCACAAACCACAGCGGTCCTCAAAGCCAAGATAATCAACGCCATCGGTCAAATTCACCCTGATTAATGCACCAGAGTTAAAGAAAATGGGACGTTTCGGATGCGCTCCACCTAGAGAAGCAGCGGTGGACACTTGAACGATATAAATTTCAACACATAAATGCATCAATAGGTCTTTCAAACGAATTTACACTGCTCAACACGGGAAACTGTCCGTCTTGTATGAAATTTCATGTGGTATCAAAAAGGCCACGTTTTAAAGAATTCCAGATGCACGGAGTGTGGTATTTTGCGTAATAGCAAAACAAATTTGTACAACTGTCAAAAAAACTTGACATTTCTGCATCACTTTTGATGCGTATATACTTTTTTAACAGTGAAAAAAATTGTTTTCGCTGCCAAAACAATTCACAAAATAAACATGAAATATTACTGCTTTCGCTGTTTATGAGACTTGTAACGCCGCTTCTCGAACTTCCAATACTCAAAGTTTCCAGAAAATATCAGAAATACGGAACCACTATAAAAGTAGCAGATTGACAATCGAATCCAAATGGTGTGATGGAAAAATTAGGATTTGCACATAACCCAGACGAATGGTGTCATTTTATAGATTCGTTTAAAACAAGTTTAAAAGCCGTTCTGCTCCATAATGGTAACAAAAGACCTTCTATTCCTCTTGCTCATGCAGTTGCCATGAAGGAAACACGCGAAAGTATGTCAATTTTTCTAAATGCAATAATTTATAATACGTATAAGTGGCAAATAATATGTGGTGACCTAAAAGTCATACGACTATTACTAGGTCTTCAGGGCGGATTTACAAAGTTTTGCTGTTTTATTTGCTTTTCTAACAGTAGGGCAACACAAAGCCATTATCAAGTGAAAGAATGGCCTCCAAGAGATAAACATATTCCAGGTCAAGCTAACGTGAAGAATACACCTCTTGTTGATCCCAAAAAAGTTTTGTTACCTTCATTACACATTACACTGGGGCTAATGAAAACTTTTGTTAGAGCATTAGACAAAAAAGGTGATGCGTTTAAATATCTCAAAAACATTTTTCCAAAATTAAGTGATGCAAAGCTCAAGGAAGGTATATTTGTTGGACCACAAATTAGAAAACTACTAAGTGATCAACAGTTTGATCAAAAATTGAGTAATGTTGAATTAGCTGCGTGGAGCTCTTTCAAAAGAATTGTTTCGGAGTTTTTAGGGAACAAGAAAGTAGAAAATTACGAAACACTTGTAGAAGAACTACTTGAAAACTACTGCAGAATGGGATGTCAAAATCCATTTCTTGCACTCCCATTTGAATTTTTTCCCAGAAAATTTGGGTGCTGTCAGTGACGAACAAGAGGAAAGGTTCCACTAAGACATACTGACAATGGAGCAACGTCACCAAGGCAGATGGGAAGTAGCAATGATGGGGGATTATTGTTGCTTCCTTATAAGGGAAAACGATGAAACATATAAACTAAAGTCAACATTTGCCAAATGG